CTAAGTCTTTTACTCCTCCCCTCTAAAAGGCATTTTAGGAGGTGAATGAAAATGACATCATGGAGATAATAAATAATAAATTCCAACTTATAAATGTGTATATATATGTATGTGTACATAGATATAAAACTAAACTTTTGATAATTTAGGCACTTTTTTATTAGTAATACAAAACAATGTGGGGAGTTGCCTAGGTTCTGGCAGAGCCAGTGGCCAGAAATGTGAAGTTTGGCCAGTCATGTTCTCATCTAAGGAGGAGCAGACCTGGAGAAATCCTCAAGGCTTTATGGATACCATCAAGTGCAAGGTTCCTACTCCTATGGACATTTTCCTTCTTCTTTTCTTTTTTTTCTGTTTTTCTACCCTGCCCAAGAGATTAATCTCCATGAGGACAGAGATTTCTGTCTATTTTTATTCCTTGCTATATCTCCAACACCCCAAACAGCTCCTGATACATGGTGGGTCCTCATTAATATTTATTGAATGACTACATCATGCTCCTGTGGTCCAAGAGCCATAAATGACCCTTCTGACATTGTGACATTGGAAGGGGTGGAAACTGGAAATCAAGTTATCTAACATCTGAAGCTCTTGACCAAACCACAGACAGTGAACAGAAATGCTTGTGGGTCCTTGGACAAGGTATATGATAAATTACTTTGTAAATAGCAAAGCATTCTTCACATTCATTGTTGTTATCATTTACGAGTGACTGATGATCTAAAATTCCCGTGAATTCCTAATATGACCATTCTTTTCACTAACCCACAAAGATCTCACCTGGAAAAATTTCCCCAGTCTTTAAGACTCCCTCAGGGCCACCTCCTTCATGAATCCTCCTGAGTCTCCCAAGCAAATGTTTGCAGATCTGTTATACTTCCCAGGGTACTTCTTGTCTACCTTGTGTTTAATGGTTTATGTCCAACTTTGTCCTTAGTAGATGTTTAGATCTTATTCTGTTTATTTCTACATGAGAAGTACTAATATCAATTTATTCAATTGTATTGGAAAGCTGTATCTTTCTGGAAAGATCAAGAAAACTTCCATAAATTCTGAGGAGAAGTTTATAAGCAGAAAATGAGGAAAACTTTTCCAAGCAAAATTTGTGAGAGGATCAAAAATCATTGTTGGTGCTAGAAGTTTCACTTTCTGGTTGCTATAGACCCAGTTTCTTGCCATTTCACCTATCTGCTGAAATCTATCTGTGAACTGATAGCTGAAATAAAATTTATGGTGCTGCAATAATGTACAGAAGTTTTAATTACTTCTTTTTTTCTTTTATTCAAGACGTTTACTCTATATTTACTATGTGCCAAGCTCTGGTATGCAGAGGTAAATAAGACAGACACAAACCAAGAATTCTCTGATCTGTAGAATAACCAAGGCATAGACACTTTATGGAAATATCTCAAGAATCCTAGCAAATAATTCCTTTGTGTAATAATAACCAGCATAAAGGGTCATGTTTATATAACACTTTATTCTTTGCTGAACATTGCCGGTCTTATCTCATTTGGCTCCTCCTTCTCCCTAGTCCTGGGTTTCTATGAAGACCTAGATAAGTACACACCAAATTAAATTGAAATACCTGACTTAATCACTGTTTTTAAAGCAAAGTGTCTAAGGCAGGAATTGTAACTAGCAATGTTTTAAAATAACTTGAATTTGAATGCCTTTGGGCAAGTAATGCAGAATTTGCCCCAGGCTCTACCTCTTTCTATAGCATTATACTCAACTGGATTCACACATTTTTATTACCTACCAGACCTACAGGCATTTGAGCTTTTAGGGGATTTTAGCCACAGTGCTCTCCTTCTAGAGGTGGATGAGTAATCTTTCAGTATAATTATTAGATCTCTAAACCAACTGCACATAGGTAGACTATCTGTAGCCTTAAGATGCTATTCTAGTCAATTAAAGTTAAGTTTAAATTGAACTTAAATTCAAATTGCATCTCAATCTTTTATTCAATAAACACTGTGCTCCCACTTTTTGCAAGTCTTTGAATTAGACTGTGGAGAATCAACAGAAAGATTCATCTAAGAAAGGGTCCCTGCCCTTAAAAGACATTATAACATAATCAGAAGGTTAAAATGCATACAGATGAAAAATATTAAGAAGTGGTGTAAAAGGTTTTACATAAAAATGCAAAAACTTTTGAAGTTTTTGAGGAAGGGAGACTTCCCAGATCGGTGAGATTTGAACTGAATCTTTGGAGTGCTGGTAGGATTCAGAGCATTGTAGCTACTCTTGAGGGCACTGAAGACGGCCCAGAAGAAAAGTCTCAGAGGTACAAACACACGGAGCATGTTGATGGGGACAATGAACAGCATAACTTGGCTGGAAATACAGGTTGAGATGAGAATGTCAAAGGCTTAATACCAGGTAGACCTGCCAACAGGAGACAGTGACAATCACTCAAAAACTGAGTGACTACCAAAGGAGTATTTGAAAAAAAAATAAATCTATTCTTTTTTTTTCAGCATAGAATGGAGGGAGAGTAAAATTGAAGTCCAGCCACTTGATTAGGGCGTCATATATTCATCCAGATGTTTAGTAAAGCCCCTGATTTAGGGTCAAAATGGAAGAAAGGAAGAGGAAGGAGAAATTTATTATAAGGCAATTGACAGAACAATTGACAAAACAATTGACAAGTGATCAGCCATACAGGAAAGAAAAAGAAGCAACAAGTTGACTGTGGTTTTGAGGCCAGATTATTAAGACAATATTGATGCTATTGGAGGGAAAAAAGGAAATATAAAATCAAGAGCTGATTTTTAGAGGGAAGAGAATGAGTTGAGTTTGAGTCATGAAGTGATGCAAGGCATTCAAGAAAAATGTAGGTCTAGAGTTAAGGACATACATCAGGGCTAGAGATGAAGATAAAGAAATTATTTCTGATACAGAAATGTTAGTTGACGTTGGGGAATGAATTAACTCTCTGAGGAGGGAGAATATAAAAAAGAGAGATTAGAGGGGCTGGCCCAGTGGCGTAGTGTTTAGGTTCGTGCACCCTGCTTTGGCGGCCCGGGGTCTGCACATTCGGATCCTGGGTGCAGACCTATGCACAACTTATCAAGCTATGTTGTGGCAGGCGTCCCACATATAAAATAGCTGAAGATGGGCACGGATGTTAGCCCAGGGCCAATCTTCTTCAGCAAAAAGAGGAGGATTGGCAGCAGATGTTAGCTCAGGGCTAATCTTCTTCACAAAAAAAAAAAAAAAGAGGGAGAGAGAGGTTAGAAAGAAAAGGTCTGAACTCTGAGGAATGCCCCCAAATTTGGAGAGCAGGAGTAGGAGACCGGGAGAAGAAGGCAGAGAAGAAGTGGTCCTAAGACTATGAGAAGCTCCCCCATCGCAGTATCTCAGAGCCAAGGGAGGAAAATCCCAAGAAGCAGAGGTTGATAAGAGAATGGGAATCAGCTCCTAGGAGTGTTAGAAAGGGCTGGAAGGCACTGAGGTGATTGGGCTAGATAACTTTTCAGATTCCTATATCTACCCTGGAGTTCTGTGAGTTAGTTTGAATATTAGGGGAACACAAATAACCTGAGGGAGGCCACTACAGTAGAGCAAGGTGTGACATTAGGAGGTCAGGCTGCAGTTGCCTCGTTACAGGGTAACTCAAATATACAACAGTTGAGGCATGTGGTGTATTTGGATATTGCCATGTGGAATAAAAATGAGACACAACAATCTATGGATCACTGTGCAATGCATCGTAAAGCAAGTCAACTATGAAGCATGAACTGTAATACTGTCTCTGAGGACATTTGCACCACCTCCCCCTCAAATCAACCCTAAACTGCCCCCTATCTATTACACAAACATCCCACATCTGGTGATTCACCTGCCATTTCATCAAATCAATTAATTCAACAACTCAACAAGCACCCATTGAGCACCTATGCATGGCGGCACTGTACTAGGCACTTGGGGTTCAGAGAATCTGGAAGGTGTGGTCCTTGCCTACCAGGAGCTCCAGTCTAATGAAAAGGCTCACAGACAGGAGAAATCCGGAGAAAAGAGGCCTTGAAGTAGTAGGCGAGGAAGATCCTGCTGATAGTGAGAGTTCAGGTAATGAAGGAAAATAGACCAGTTCCGAGTGGCAAGAGGGATATGGTTCATCCATTCATAGAATATTTGGCTTGAAAGGGAGCTTGGAGAACACCCAGGTCAATTAGCGTTTGACTCCTGATACAACTGTCTGATTACTGCTCACAGTGAATATTCTTACTGCATATTTTGCCAATTTACGTCTATCATTTCCTCCCACAGAACCATAGAATTTCAGGGTTAGATCTTATTAGTAGGCAATTTTACTCAAGCTTCACCTCCTCACTTCAACTCTCTCTCCCAGGAATCCATTGTCATCTCTTTTCTACTACGTGCACCCAGGTGGTGAGCAATCAACAGCAATAGTTGCAGTTTTCTTTCATTTTGCTAACCTTTATCTCATCATTTTATATAGGCCCCAAATCATGCTTTTGTTAAATAATGGTTGCCTATATTATAAGTTAATGTAATTATAGCTGTTTTTTTTTTTTTTTTTAAACAGCTTACTCTTAGAGAATAGCTTGTAAACACAAGCTAGCTTGGAATGCTGACTGACTGCCAAAGGGATAACCACAAACAGATGTCAGATGTAGAAAAATAAATTTTTTAAGTTCCATTAACTGTCCAAAAATTCTAAGCTGAGAGACAATGTCAAGCATAAAGTTTTTTCAGCGCAAATTTATTTTGTGCAGAAAAAAATCTTACCTCATAAAACTGCCCAACAAGAATAAAAAGCAGAGGGACAGGCAAGAGAAATCCTACTATTTTGGAGACAGGAGGAAATTAGCTAGTTTGTGCCTCTGAGCACAATTTCTGAGGCAGAATTTCTCCTGTCTCCAATGATGTGGAGAGAGAGTCTGCCCACACTTACCCCGTCGTGGCAGCCACCTCACGATCTACAACACCAACTCAGAGTACGCGAAAATCACCACCCACTGAATACTCACTTCAGGACTTGGCACCGCTCCTCAGGCAAAGACGTACAAGAAAAGAAAATAACAAACAGTTGCTCTTTGCGTCAGATTCCCTCATAGAAGCCGACTAAACAAACAGCTGAAACAAAACAACATAAAACAAAAATAAAAAAACCTAGGTTGCTGCCTAGACCACTGCAAGAAGCAGTAGCTCCAAGCCAGGAGCTGGCAGAGGGACATATGAGGATGGGTAATGAAAAAGCCGCCAGAATGTGGGGATAAGGTACATTAAGCAAGAGAAGAAAAGATGTTGTCATCTCCATCCAGCTCAGACTTCCTTATAACATGAGGGCAATGAAAACCAGAACTAGTTCTGAGGAATTGACCAAACTCAGCCTACTGAGAAGTTTTGGTTTTGCTTTCAACATCGCTTGTCTGTATACAAGTACCCCTTGAACTGTGTCCCCAGGGAAGCTGGTGTAAATTTAGGAGTAGGAGAAGGGGAGAGAAAGAAGAATACCAGCATATTCTAACTATGCACCAGGAACTTTACCCAGGTATCTTGATTAGTTTTCCAGGGCTGCAGTAACAAATCACCACAAATTGGGTGGGCGGCTTAAAACAACACTGTACTCATAGTTCTTTCACAGTTTTGGAGGCTAGAAGTCTGAAATCAAGATGTCAGAGGGCCACACTGCCTCTGAAGGCTCCAAGAAAGAATACTTCCTTGCTTCTTACTAGATTCTCGTGGCTCCCGGCAGGCCTTGGTGTTCCTTGTCTTGTAACTGCATCACTCCAAGCTCTGTCTCCTCTTCATATGAGTTTCTTCCTTTTTATATCTTTGAGTGTCCTCTCTTCATACAAGGACACCAACCATTGGATTAGTGCCCGCTGTAATCCAGTATGACCTCATCTCAGCTAATTGCATTTGCACATACCCTACTTCCAGATAAGGTCACATTCTGAGGCTCCAGATGGGCATGAATTTTGGGGAAACACTATTTAACCCACTATAGTACTTCATTTAATTCGGAGCAACTTGTTGTCTAGATACTGTTAGACGCATTTTACATATGAAGAAACAGTCAAGATCAAGCAAACTTTCCTCCGTTGCATGGCTGAATCTGAACTCAGGCCTCTGGGGTCTAGATATACTGTGAGGCTTTTCAGTGGTGAGATGAAACCCAGGTGCCAAGAAAAGGCCAACTTGAATGCAGGCCTGGAGGACCAATCCCATTCCTACCACCCCACTCCCCTTGGGCTCAGAGAGGTGGGGTCAGCAGAGATGGGGCTCTAATGCTCAGACAGGGTATGTTTTCTTAGCCACATTTCTCTAATGTTCTCTTGTCCTCTCTTCATGCCTTGCATCTAAGTCTCCCCTGCCCAATTATTTTTCTTCTGAAAAAGCAGCATTCTCCTTTCCTCCTTCTTGTTCTTTTTACTCCATCCCTCAAGCAAGAAGGAATGAAGCTGGTAGTAGCTACAAATAGAAGTGGCTGCCTAGACCCCAAGAATGGGGCTGTGTCTATGCAAAGCTGTCCTTCCTCTGGGGACCTGCTTCTCCACCCGCAGCTCCAGGCATGCGGTCTCCGGGGGAGTTGCCTGCTCTCACCTGACCTTCTTCCCCAGCCACCGTGATTGGCTGAGGAATGGGCATATGTCCCCTGTGTGGCTCTGAGGGATTAGTATCTATAGAATCAGAGTTAGTACCTATATTATTATATATATGTATATATTATATATTTGTATCTATAGCTCAGAGTTTCTGGTCCCCTTTAGGAGGGAGATACACTCCCTACTGTTTCCTTTCCTCTATCTGGTCTAAGCTTCCTCCCTGCTCTGCCCACCTCTCCTCTCCACTCTTTCCTCTGGGCTCTTTCTCCACACACCTAGGTTTGGGAAAACAGACTCATCTCAGAGCAAGGGAAGGCCTAGGTGTTTTCACAACAGGGCCCAAATAAAACTCAAACTAATATCTCAGCACATTTTTGTGCCTTAAGTCTATATGCCTTGAAAAAAAACTGTAGGGGGAGATATCAAAGTGTTAACACGGGTCTTTCTGGGTGGAGGACTTGCAGGTGATTTTTTTAGTTTCTTCTTTTTGCTTATATTTTATTTTCTAAATAACTTGCTGTGAACACAAATTACTTTTGTAAAGACAGAAATAATTTTTAAAATGGAGTAATGGAGAGTATAGTTAATTTGCTAAACAACAGCAGAAAGAAAACATTTAAAAACTTGGCAAAGGGCTTATGTTCATTTCTAATTTGTTTAATTTAACTTTGTTCTCTTTATAATAGAACATCCCTGAGAGGCATAGCTGAATTGTGTATGTGTGTGTATTGTTAAAATAAGACAACAAGCCCCAAAGGGGGTCACTTATGCTAAGCCCCACCTCACCAAACTGAGACTTAATTGTAGTTGTGGCTTTCCCAGAAATCCCAGGAATCTTAAACCAGTTAGTCAGGAATTGCTTCATTAGTACTAGTTAGGTAATCTGCCTGGATACCTGCTGTCCCCTAAAGGAAAGTGACCTTGCCATAACCAACCAGCTTTTTTGTCTAGTATAAAAAAGCTATGTTCCCCTCCCTTCTGACTATGAACGTGTTTCATTTTGTACAGCTCCCCAGAGCTCCTTTCTATCTGCTAGGTTGAATGCTACCCAATTCATGAATCATTGAATAATGCCAATAAGATCTTTAAAATTTACTCAGTTGAATTTTGTTTTTTAATAGTGCGTAGGACGATACTTGGTAATGGAAAATTGGAATTTAGGTCATAAATATTACACTATAATAGCATAATAATGATCTCACCAGTGTATACAACCAGTCTATGTGGCCCCTTCCATTTTTTAGAAGGGAAAGTTGAGGTGAAGAGAGATTATGGGGCTTGACCAGGATCATCCTGTGGGTTCAGGACAGAGTCGGAGAATAAACACTACAACCATTTCTGTCCTTTCTTCCCAGAATATTTTCCTCCAAATGCAGTGTAATACAATGCAATGTATATAATGCAATGCAATGCAATGTAATGTAATGTGATGTAAATGTGCGTGTAAAGCACCTAGAACAGTTCTTGCCACGTAGCAGGTGCTAAATCAGTGTAACTACTTCAGATCCAAAGAATAAGTCCAGTCTTTCTCACTCTGCTAGGCCTTATAGGGAACAAAAGAATACAGCTTAAGAGTGAGAAAGAAATACACCTAGGGTTTTGGGAACATGGGTGAAGAGCAAGGAAGGGGTGAGAACTGCAACAAGCCATCAGTTTATCTAGCACCAGACTTAGCAACCTTCCCAATGTCAGGAACAAAGGTTTTCACATGAGTTTATCTGGAATGTGACAAAAGGAAATGATGGCTAGCTCCCCCGTCTTGAAAATGAGGATGGAGGTGGGGCGGTTGTCGGAGCTGGGGAGAGAGTCATAGGCAGTTGGGGGCAGAGAGGAAGGAGGAGTCTACATGGGGGCCACCACAAAAACTGGCCTTCCTTACTGCAATAAACAAAAAATTTAAAAAAACAAAACGAAACAAAAACCAAAAAACTGGCCTTCCTTGAGTTGTGGTCAACCCAGGGACTGGAGGTAGGTCCCCTGTCATCGTACAAGATGTCACACACTTGGCTTGGAATCCCATCTAATCTCTGCCTGGCCTGAAAGCAAGGCCTGGCCTCAAAGTGAGGGAAGGGAAGATGTGGACAGATGTTCTGGCCAGAGCAACAGAGGTGGTTGTTTGTTTTTAGAAAGAAGGAGGTCCAGGTTTGGCTCATGCCCTGAAAGGAACTCAGATAAGAGAGAGGTTTATTGTAAGTTGAAGGGGTTGATGTGAGCTACTGATTAAGTACTTTTCCTGCCCCAGCTTCCTCCATGTTGCTGAATGGGGAAGAAATAACTGGGGAGATGGCTCCTTGTTGAGAAAAAAGTTACTAAAGTCACAAAGGTCAAATTTCAGTAAGGCCTAATTCCTCAAGCGAGTCTCCCAGGGACAGGGTTGGGCAGGGAATGAGGGTGGAGAAGAGACGGTGGGTGGGAGAGGTTGAACTGGTTCACTGGCCTTCGACAATGAAAAATGAAAGAGACAGATTCATGAGACAAGGAGGAGGTTCTAGGGCCTGGAGGGAATGTGTACTTTCCTCTTCCCCTCTCATTCTTGGGGAGAGGCAGAGGATGCTGGGTACACATCCTGAAGTTTACGAGTGCCCTTAGATAGAGATTAATACCTGCTTCATGCCTGGAGTTTCTGAAGGTGGGAGGTTCACTGGAGTATCCCATGCCTGGGGTGTGAAGGACTGTCAGGTTATTTTCAGGGATAAAGAAAATGGGGGCACCCCCATTCCAGGCCCCTGAGCCCTCAGTGGTCACTGAAGACCCCAACAGTTACTGTGGCTTCAGGCAACGCACAAGGGAGGGAAGCCAGAGGCACAGGAGTCCTGGGACATTCTCAGGGCCACTGACTTTAGACTGAACCAGATGGAGCCTGGGGATATTTCCCTCCCTGACTCCAAGATGGCAGAGCAACAAGTTTAACCTGTTCTGTGAGAAGGGGGGAGATTTGAAAAGGATATGAGATTGGAATTTCAAGTGGGACTGGACTCTGGCAGTTTTCCAAAATGTTAAACATAGAGTTACTGTAAAACTCAGCATTCTACTCCTAGGTATATACCCAATAGAAATGAAAATATATGTCCATGCAAAATGTAGACATGAATGTTCATAGCAGCATTATTCATAATAGCCACAAAGAAGTGGAAAGAAGTTGACTGTCCAGCAACTGATGAATGGACAAATAAACTTTGGTATATCCATACAGCGGAATATAATCCAGCCTTAAAAAGGAATGAAGTACTGATATAGACTACAATATGGATGAACCTTGAAAACATAATGCTAAGTGAAAGAAGCCAGTCACAAAAGATCATATATTGTATAATTCCATTTATATGAAATGTCCATAAAAAACAAAGTCATAGAGATAGAAAATAGTGGTTGCCTAGGACTAGGCGTGTGGGGGAAAGTAGAGGGGTGACTGCTAAAGGGTATGGGGTTTCCTTTAGGGATGATGAAAATGTTTTAAAATTGATTGT